CCCACTCAAGTCAAGAAAGCTCACAGGTGAATTATACCAAATACACAAAGAGCCTATTTCCCACCCACCAAATGTTTCCAAAATACAGAAATAAAGTCATATAGAATTACAAAGGACCCTGAATAACAAATGCAATCTTGAACAAGAAGAACAATAACCCGGAGACTTATTGATTTCTAAATATATCACAGTCCTTCGCTGATCAAAACAGCAAGGTAACAGGGTAGATCAGCAGTCCACAGCAGAAGGCTCAGAATTAAATCTGCATGCTTTTGCTAAACTGGCTTTCCAAAGGGTACTAAGAGTGTAAAGCAGGAAACACAGTCTCTTTCCTGGTAAATGGTGCTGGCAAACTGGAAATTCACCTGGATAAATTTGGGAGAATTAAGTTGAGCCTTGGCATGACGTATATAAAAATCAGTCCAAAATAACTTTACAACCTGACTTAAATGTAAGACCTAATACTATAAAACTGGAAGTTAGCTTCTAGAAAAAAGTTCTTGACACTGATCTTGGCAATGGTTTCTTAGAAAAAGTAGGTAAGTAGGGTTACATACAACTTAAGTTTCTATATAGCAAATAATAAATAGAGTGAAAAGAAACCTGTGGAATAGGAATGGCTATTTGTAAATCGTATATCCAAAAGGAGTATATAAGGACACTAAAGAATAAGGCAACAACCTGATTTTAAGGTAAGGTTCTAAATAGACATTTCTCTAAAGAAGACGTGGCCAGCAGGGGTTCAACATCACTCATCAGTGGGGAAATGCAAGCCCAAACCAGGGTGTTAACTTGCACATGTTAGAATAGTCATAATAAAAAAGCTAATGGTAAGTGGTGCAGAGGTGATGGGCAAGCAGGCCTCGTATACTGGTGCTGGGATTGTGAATTGGTTCTAAGGCTTCAAATGCTGCATGATCTAACTGACATGCAGAATCTAAACAAGTTGATCTTACAGAAATAGAGAACAGGATGGTGGTTGGAAGGTGTTGGGTGATGGTGGAGGAAGGGGGAGATGTAGCTCAGAAAGCATAGCGTTTGAGGAGGGATGAGCTCTGGTGATCTTAATGTCCAGGGCTGTGGCTGAAGTTATCAATTCTGTACTATATGCTGATACTCCCTATCCTACATGAGATTACACCCCCGAGAAACCCAATGTAAGTTGAAAATGGGTGTAATATACCTTATATACAACTTATATGCTTATATACAACCAATATATTCTTGATTGTCAACTTGCCTATATCTTGAATGGACTACAATTCAGAAATGGAGGGCACACTTGTGATCCAGATCTTGAGACAGTAAGACAACAAGCCTTTGATCTATATCTTGAGGTGAATGACACAAGTCTTTAATCCAGATCTTGAGGCAGAAAGGCACACCTCTAATCTGGGCCACACCTTCTGCTGGAAGGACAATGGAAGAAGGAAGGGGGTGTGTTCATTCTTCACCTGCTTGTCCTTGCCTGTCAGCACATCCGTCCTTCACTGGCATTGGAGCCTACTTCTTCAGGGTTCCAGCATATACAGAAGACCAGCCTCGTGGGACACCCAGCCTTGTGGAACTGAGCAATTACTGGATTCTTGGACTTTCTATTCACAGCTAGCCATTGTTGGACTGCAGCCTGTAAGTCATTCCAATAAATTCATTCATATATATATATATATATATATATATATATATATATATATATATATATAGAGAGAGAGAGAGAGATTTATTCTATAAGTTTTGTGATTCTAGAGAACTCTGACTAATACATATACTGACCCTGATAACTTAATCTAGCCTGCTAAGGACATATCCATGACAGCTGGATTGTTCTACAGTTTAACAAAATCATCTAACACAAATATGTTTTATAATACAGTGTAGACAACCTTGTGTAGTTAGATGAATGTCTATATCCTTAAAAATTACAATGACAGGGTATCCTGGTGAGCATTAGTTCTTCACACTCATGGTCATGCACATGACTGAGTAGCTCACTACTATTGCCAGATATCACCAGGAAATATCAAAACTTGTATTACCAGCTCCCTAAAATATCTAAATTAAAAACATTGTTTCTCCTTTGTATACTATTTCCACACCACTGTAAAGTTGAAAAAATCCTAAATTGATCTATCATAAAATAGGGGCCATCTGGATTTGAGATTTGCCAAGGGGGCAGACTTTAAGTGTTGTACACACACACACACACACACACACACACACACACACACACACACACACACGTAACTATTTATAAGCATATTTACTAGTTTGACTGGGGTAGTTATTTCACAATGTATATGTTCAGCAAAACCCTGGTGTGCACACCTTAAACACGTGTAATTTCTATTTGCCTATTATATCCCAACAAACTTAAAACAGACTCAGTCCCAAACTTTTAATGCAAGAACATGATCGTCTCGTACACATGCCCTGCATCTGAAGCCAAGAAAAACAGATGAGTTGATTTATTCTTGCTGGAGAAGATTAAGACAATGTCTAAAAAAAAGCACGGTCCCTCATGCTCATGCATGCAATGAAGGTCAATGGTGTCCCCATTGGATCATGGCAGTCATTGTGCCCTGTAAGCTTAGTGAAGAGAGGATATGTTCACCTGCATATCTCTAGGACTCAGCACAGTGTCTGATTGCTTATTGGCAGGAGAAGTTAATAGTTCTCACTTCTCAGTGACAATGAGGACTGAGAACAGCGTTTGGCGATTCCCATTCTCTTTTGTTATATGACCAGCACCCCCAAGGGTAAGTGGCCTCAACTAACAACGGTATTAACTTTGCTAACGAGGGTTCACTTTAGGCAGGGCAGGCAGGAATTGCTCCTTTCTGTCACATTTGCCTTTAGCTGTGGAGGCTTGCGATCCAGATCTGGACCCACCTGGGAGCTTAGTCATTCACCTGCTCCTGATGCTAACTGTCAGCCCAGGGACACCTCTGCTGCTGCAGCCCACCTGAGCATCTGTGCAGCCTGTCGCCATGTGGCACCGGCTTATCGTGGTGTCCTTGCACTCTCCGGCAAATGTCCCCAGAGCAAGAATCACTTGAGACTCTAAGGACTTTGGCTTGAAGGCATGTTTCCATCACGGTCTAGTCATTGTAGCAGTTAAATCAGTCTCAAGGGTGAGGGAAACAGGTTTGAAAGCTTGTTGAGGAGGCACGTAGGAGAACCGGGGCTCTTATAAAAAATAACATGCCGTAGTGACACAAGATGGGCACTGACTTTTGGAAATCGCTTTTTATTTTCAGATGAGCTTGTAGTTAAGAGTTGTAGATCATTATATTTATAATTCCATATTCAAATAATCCCTGTTTAATTAGAGTGCAGCATTTAGAAAAATAAATATACTCTTTTAAAAAAGATTTTAGGTTTTTTTTTTTAGCAACTTTATTATGTATCTGTGTGTAGGAGTGTGTACCACATGTTTGTCCAAGGAGGTCAGACAGGGCATTGGACCCCCTAGTGCTGGAGTGGTAAGCAGTTAAGGGTCCCCCTAGGTGGGTGCTAGGATCCAAACTCAGGTCTTCTGGAAGATCAGCAAATGCTCTTTATCCCTGAACCTTCTCTGCAGCCCAGTGAAGAAGCTCTTTGAGGTGAGAAAGGCCCGTTTCCTAGGACGTCATCGGAACCTATAACAAAAATAGGACAGTTACATTATAAGCACAGATTCTCGCCCTAGGAACTTTACACAAAATTACACTTAAAATGAGGGCTCTTGCGGATACATTTTCTAGGCAAAGGCAAAACCAGCATGGCTGTATTTGCTCGGGTGAGATTTCAGAGATATTTCTACTGAAGCAGGGTCCGAGAGCAAGCAACACTCTGGCCACAAATGTCTCCCCAGAAATCACATTTTAAATCTTATCTTTTGCTCCCATTGGACTTATAAAGGGAAAATTCCCTCCCATTCTGGAGGTAAAGCAGGGGCCTGTGTCTCTGCTATGTGAACAACAGGCTCTTTCTCTTCTGAGGCGTCTCCAAGACCCTGGGAAGAGGCATCTGCTCCAACTCTGGACTTGGAAAAATCCAAGTGAGGAGAGCCCCCCTCCCCCACCAGCCAGATTCAAAGAAGCAATGGGATCGGGGGCCATGAAAGTGAAATAAACTGGACTTTTTAAAAAAAGTCATTGTGCTCTATCTATACCTAGGCAAAACTGCTTCCAGTGCCCTGGTTCATAAATCAGGACACATTACAGCCTCTCCTTCGTTTGTTGAATACATAGTTCTTAAAAGCCAGTAATCTGTGGGGTAACAGGCTAGATACTCAAAGAGAACCAAAGAAATGAGGGTCTCGCCCTCATAGCCCTACAGACACCAGAGGTAATAAATACAAGGGATTCTGTTCTTCCCAGGGCTCTGAGCAGCCACAGGGAAGAGCAGGCTGGAAGTTGGGCAGAATTAAGATCAACTGGATAGCTCAGTTGTAAGGGGAGGGACCGATGGATGAGGACCTAGGGCCTCCAAGGATGCCAAAATCAAAGGCAGTGTTTCAGTGATAGTCATCCAGAGGGGGGCAGGGGTCCAAGTTCAGGTTTGCCATAGACTCAAACCTGGGAATTTAAGGTACGGCTGGCTGGGTCCTAGGAAGTAGGATCTGCGTCACTAGTGCTTGGTGACTGAGGTGGAGAGAGAGCTTAGGCTACAGCAGAGTGCTCATCACACTGACACAGGGAGACAGGAAGAGGTGGGGAGTGCACCCCAGTTTGGGGTCATCTCTGTCCTTCCCCGTCCTTCTGTGTGTAAAGTATGGTAAGTACCTCATAGTCCCCAAGTGTCACACAATACCACAACTCCTGACTGCGTCTGAAGTCTGCGTTCTCTGTGACAAACAGCAGGCCTCAGAGTGGTTCAGATGGAACAAATGTGGCGTCTTTCATCAAGTCCCAGTTGGATGAAGTGAATCCCTCAGATGTTCCTCAGTGATTTTACCACCACGGAACGGACTATGGAAATAGCACAGGCACAAAAATACACTGATTTCATTAAGGCAGTTACCAAACTTGTCACAATGCTCTTTGTGGACCAACTTGAGAATTGGTTAATTAAGCAGAACAAAATGAGTCCTGGTGAATGGGTCAATGCTTATCTGGACCAGCATTTCTCAAATTAGAATAATAGGTAAAGCCTCTTCTAAAGGAGCTACCATTTATTTGAATTTTATTATGCTATATTAATATAAGCAAATCTGAAACCAGAAGTGAACTGTATTTTCTTTTTTTTTTTTGGTTTTTTCGAGACAGGGTTTCTCTGTGTAGCTTTGCGCCTTTCCTGGAGCTCACTTGGTAG